GGTTGAAGCATTAAACCCTAAACCCTAGGTGGGTTCAAGGTTGGGGCATTAAACCGTCAACCCTAACCACAAAACCCTAAACCCTAAACCCTAAACACTAACCACTGAACCCTAAACTGACTAGGGACTGTTTCCACCCGCTTTAGGGCCTCGTTCGGCTTTCCAAGGTCTGGGGTTCAGACCTCGCCGTCGCTGCTTGAGGTTTGGGAAGTCAGCAGGGGTTTAGGGTTTAGGGTTTAGGGTTTTGGGTTTAGGGTTTTGGGTTTAGGGTTTAGGGTTTTGGGTTTAGGGTTTAGGGTTTTGGGTTTAGGATTTAGGGTTTAGGGTAATCAGGAACCCGAAGGAGTATTGGTAACTTTTCGGCCTCTCTATTACCTTCAGCCGGGTTTGCAAGGAAGTTATCGCTTAGGCTTGGGAAAAGCATTTAAGGTCAGGAACTTGGCTTCAAAGTTCAGGGCCTGCGACTGGTGTTATCAAGTCATGTTCATGTCCCGTGCCAGAACTGGCTGGGCCCAGTTCATGCTCGCACCAACAGCCCTAAATTAGAGATCGATTTAGGGTTTAGGGTGAGTGGCCGGGTTTGGGGGACACTCGCGACTCGGGGCGTTTCAGCGCCAGCGCGTTGAACACTTGAACACCCCCCCCCCCGCCACCTCAACAACCTCGAAACCTTAAGCCTCTGAACCCCTAAACCCTAAACCCTAAACCTCGAAACCTTAAGCCTCTGAACCCCTAAAAGTTAGATCCAAAATCCCGAAGTCTCCAAGAATTCTGCACTTTCCTCTCAGGGAATTTAGGATTTCAGGGCTTCAGGTTTAAGGTTTATGGTTCGGGCTTCTGGTTTAGGCTTCTTCTTGAACTCCCTTTTCAAAAAACTTGTGATGTCCGCATCCGGTACCCGTTGACAGGCTGGCTTAGGGTTTGGGATTTAAGGCTTTGGCAAATAGAAAAGGTTCGAGTTTTACCTAAACCCTAAAACCTGACCCTAAACCCTAAACCCTAAACCCTAAACCCTAAACCCTGAACCCTAAACCGAACTCCAAGGTCCTGATGGACACCGGCCGGCCCGCGACGAAGCGTGCATTGCCTGCAGGCCGAGGCAAAACTCGAGGATCGAGGTTTCCAACGTTGAAACCATGTGTCCCCAGGGTTTAGGGTTTAGGGTTTAGGGTTTAGGGTTTAGGGGCCTTAACCCTGGGATCCTTGTACACCTACTATATACCCGACATGTACCCTTAAGGGTCCCTAGAAAGGTCTAAGGGTCCATATTCGAACCTTACAAGGTTGCGCAGACATGTAGGATTAGGGGGACCCTTTGGGGATATAGACCCTCTCAATTAAGGTCCCTTTCGAGAGAGCCAAAGGTTGGGTTAAGAAGGGTACCCTTGAAGGGGTCTCCCTAATACTACCAAGGATTCAAGCACGAGGATTCAGACATGGAGCTGGTTCACGCTGCAGAACTTCTTTGCAGTCAGGGCATCGGGTTTCTTCAATTCCGCCATTAAGGTTTAGGGTTTGGGGTTTAGGGTGTTGGGTGCCCATCCTAAATCCCTAGACTCCTAGACCCTAAAGGTTTAGGGCTTGGGGTTTAGGGCTTTGGGTGCCCATCCTAAATCCCTAGACCCTAAAGGTTTAGGGTTTGGGGTTTAGGGTCTTGGGTGCCCATGCTAAACCCCTAGACCCTAAAGGCTTAGGGTTTGGGGTTTAGGGCTTTGGGCGCCCATCCTAAATCCCTAGACCCTAAAGGTTTAGGGTTTGGGGTTTAGGGTTTCGGGTGCCCACTCTAAACCCCTAGACCCTAAAGGTTTAGGGCTTGGGGTTTAGGGTTTTGGGTGCCCATCCTAAATACCTAGACCCTAAACCCTGAACCCTGAACCCTCACCTCGAGCTCCCAACACGGCGAGCAGAGGAGACTCACTGTCAGCATCGCTACGGATTTTCACTCTCGCTACTGTGACAAAGTGAAGCCTTCCGAACTCACAGGGGTTTAAGGTTTAGGGATTATGATATAGGGTTTAGGGATTAAGGTTTAGGGTTTAGGGATTAAGGTTCAGGGTTTAGGGTAGCCATTTTGGGGGTCGCCACTTCCGCATAAAGTCGCCGTGGGCACTACCAGAACCACTCCGCCCATCATGGTCATCCTTCCCGGCATCCTAACTGCGGCAATGCTCAAGTGCCCGAGCAAAGTAGTATCTGCAAAAACAAACGCGTGCCACAGGAATCCTGTGACAATCTAACGGTAGACTCCGGTAGACCCTACTGATGAATGCCCAGGTGAGCAACCCCACCATTCAAACCGAAATCTCGAAACCCTTGCCCCCTAGACATAACTTCATGGAGATTGGATGCACCGCCAACCATGGACCATAAAAGACCGTACGGGAGCCCCTTAAGAAAATCCTAGAAAACCCAAAACATTAGTTTAAACAAAAACCCGAACCCTGAACCCTAAACCCTCTAAACCCCCAACCCTCAGCCCTTAACCGTAACCCCCTAGCCCTAAACCCTGAACCCTAAATAACCCTATACCCTAAACCCTTGCCCTAAACCGTTAGCTCTCAACCCTAAACCCTAATCCTAAACCCCTTCACTTACGGGCATTGGGGTCCCTGGTTGCTTGCTCCAGTCTCGAGCCTTCCTTCAGGAGCTTCAAAGCCTGGCAGTTTAGGGTTTAGGGGTTCAGGGGTTTGGGGGTTTGGGGGTTTAGGGGTTTAGGGTTTAGGGGGTTTAGGGTTTAGGGGTTAGAGGTTTAGGGTTTAGGGGTTAGAGGTTTAGGGTTTAGGGGTTTAGGATTTAGGGTTTAGGGACAAGGTTGGGGAACGTGCAGGTTCCAGCGATTGGGGTTGAAAATTGAAAGCTTAGGGTTTATAGGGTCTGGGATTTAGTAAGTAGCTGCTTCTCTCAAGTGAAGAATGTCACAACCCAAGTAAGGATCCCTTGTGGTGTGCTTCTGACTCTATGGTGAACTAGTCACTTAGTCCCACGACATTCCAAGTCAACTATGGGGCTGTTGTCTTCCCTAAACCCTAAGCCCTGAACCCTAAGCCCAAAGCCCAAAGCCCTAAGCCCTAAGCCTAAACCTAAACCCTAAACCCTAAACCCTAAACCCTAAACCCTAAACCCTAAACCCAAACCCCTGAACCTGAACCCTAATCGGGTGGCGCATTCGGGCTGGAAGTGTAGGGCTTGGAGTGTGCTGTAGGTGTCTTTTTGGAATCTCGCGGTTTTGGCCTTGGCGATTCCAAAAGAACAGCCCCAAACAACGGATGAGCAGTAGGTTATCAGATAAGCTTCACTTTCGTAAGACTTGCAAAATCCAAGAAACCCTGTTAGATCCGAACACTGAAGCAGGAACCTAAAGCTCTATGTACTTGCGCCTCCAGGGGGATTCCGGCTTTTTTACGGTTTTAGGGCTTAGGGCTGTAGGGTTTAGGGCGTACGGCTCAGGGCTTACGGGTTTAAGCCGCAGGGCTCAGGGCTTAAGGGGTTTTGTGGTCTATGCTGTATGGTTTAGGTGGTTTTGGAGTGGCTGATTTGGGATCTACGCTGGCATAATACGAATATGAAATTGCGAAAAACGGGCAGGCTCGTCACGAAGAATACCACCAAAAGTGAGGTAATAGTGGTCACAGCATTCATTCATGAAACGGCATTCTGTGTATGTGCCCAAAACCCCCCGAAGCAACCTCGCTGGGAGCCACATCGCCGGTCTTGGTGGTTCGAACTCCCTGGCATTCGGGGCGTCTTGAAGTCTGGAGCATAGCATTTAGGTTTAGGGTTTAGGGTTTGGAGTTTAGGGTTTGGGGTTTTGGGCTTGGGGTTTAGGGTTTCGGGTTTTGGGTTTTGGGCTTAGGGCTCGGTAGCACAACCTGCCAGACACCCCGCGACCTGCTGTCTCGGCTGTGCCGGGTATGCCGGCGCGCCCACCACATAGGGCCTCAAAACTCAAAAGCTTCACGTCCCTGAGCTCTGGGTTTACAGTTTAGGGTTTCAGGTTCTATAGGGGGGTTAGGGTCCAGAGTTTAGGGTTCAGCGTTTTGCAGGGGGTCTGGGTTAGGGTTTTGGGTGTTAAAAAGTCCTATGCGTGTAGGGGCACCAACTGCAGCACAAGGACGCTCGATCATCGGCCTGGTGTCTCTCGCATGCTCTCTTGAAGGGGCTGCACATAGGGGCCTCAACTCAATCATTAGAATAGGGCCCCAGACCCTAAACCCTAAACCCTAAACCCCAAACCCCAAACCCCAAACCCCAAACCCTAAACCCTAAACCCTACACCCTAAACCGTAAACCCCAAACCCTAAACCCAATGGGAAAACGGGCACAGCGTAGTCTTACTAACTGTTCCGACCTCTACAGTACGGAGTCTTCCTTGCGGCCGACACCACCCTGCACCCCCAAGGCGGCCCAAAAAAAAGGGCCTTAATAATTGGAATGGGGCTTTGGGTTCAGGGTTTAGGGNNCGTCAGTCAGTGTCAGCCATCAGGACTTTAGGGTTTAGGTTTAGGGTTTAGGGTTCAGGGTTTAGGGTTTAGGGTTCAGGGTCTAAGGTTTAGGGTTTCGGGTGTATATGATACTATACTTATAATAAGGAACCCCCAAAACCCTATTCGAAATTATTAAAGACCCTACATTAGACCCCAGCCCTACGAGCTGCTTCGAGGTTCGCGTTTCAGGCTTAGGGTTTAGGGTTTGGGGCTTCGGATGTTAAGTGTATTTAGGGTTTAGGGTTTAGGGTTTAGGGTTTAGGGTTTAGGGTTTAGGGTTTAGGGCTAAGGGTTTATTTAGGGTTTGGGATTTTGGGGATTCGGATTTAGGGTTTATTTCGGGTTTAGGGTTTATAGACTCCACTACCCAGAGACTCCAAAACCCCTTAATTAAGGAATATACCTTAAATTATAATAGGATCCCTAATCTGATTTAAAGTATATTCCTCAAATTAAGGGGTTTTGGAGTCTCTGGGTAGTCGAAAATGAGACCCTGAAAGTGAGACCCTGCCCTGCCTCGCGGACGCAGGCATGACCTGCGGCGCGCCGGGCATGGGTGCCGGCTGCGAGGTGCGGATAACCCGCGCCCCGGGGGGAAGAGCCTGAGGCACACCAACCTTGGCGTTGAGCTCACAGATTCTGGGCGTTGAAGTAACCAGGGGGAAAAACGTATAGACTTTTTTTTCATAACGGTTCCTGTAAGGAACAGGTCCCAAAAAAAGTATTAAAGTATGGTACTCCAAAGCCCAGGTTTGTCCTCCCTATCGCTTTTTGTTTGCATCTTTCTGGCTGCCGCATGAGAGTCGTAGGGATCTTAACACTTCTTAGGGCTGGGGTGAAGACGACACCCTGATGAACCCTCAGAATACCTTAACGGTTCCTACCCTTTAAAGGAACCCCTATGATACCCTTCAGGGAACTTCTATGGTTCCTATATGTTCCTATATTTAAAGATATGGGAGCCTGGTCTCTGGGCTGTCCTTCGGGCCTAATGTAGGGGCCTTAATAATTAGAATAGGGTTTGGGGGGTTCCTTACTAAAGAATAGTAAAATATACCGCGCAACCCTGTTCTAAGTATTTAGGCCCTTATACTGCACCCTTATAGTAACCCTTAAAGGAACCCTTGCAAAAAAACCCTATTCTAAATAGTAAGGCCCCCCGTGTTAGTCTTCCGAATTCTTCGCAACTGGTGTTCCACTTCCGGGCTGCCTCGTCAGCCTCGTGAACCCTTTGTCTTTAGTGGTGTAGTTGTTGGGGTTTAGGGTTCAGGCTTGAGGGTTTAGGGTTGAGGGTTTAGGGTTTAGGTTTGAGGCTGATAGGGTCTAGGATTCGGGTATAATATAAAGTATTTAAACATGAGACTCATGCTGTATACTATACGGGTAGTTCTCCACATCAGAGTCCCCAAGAAAGCCCGGCACCATTATAAAAGGGACCCTAAGGGGGACCCCAATTTTAGAGAACTACCCATCAAAACCAAGGCGTGCCGAAGGGCTTGGCCAAGTGTGCGACTGGAGAAGGAGAGGGGCGCCGGCATTCCCGCCTAGATGTCAGGCGATTTTTGAAGCGTTTGAACCCTAAACCCCTGAACCCCAGATGCCAGTAGAATTTTTCCGGAGATTTACAGGAAGATTGCGCCGAGGACAAGGGAATCAAAGGCTCGAAGATTGATCGGTGTGCACTTCCCGGACGCAGAAACGATTCCCGATTTTGGGGGGCAAGGTCTCGGCAAGTGACGACTTCGTGCACCCAGAGAAGGGCTTCAAGCTTTCGAGTTATAGGAAACTACAGGTGGGGAGTTTAGGGTATATAGGGCTTCTACAAGGCTTCTATATAGACCTTCTACAAGGCGCCCATAACGGTAACTACCCACCTGAAAATTTCCTAGACTTCAATGCTTTCCATGCTGAGACTCAGGTGCTTCTATGCTCACTTTCCGAAGCCAAGCCCACATGCCCACCTTGGAGGCCCAGGGGACTTACTAACTCGGTTATAAGTAGGGTTATAATTGGGGTAACTCCATTTAGGGTACTTATAACTCTACTTATAACCCACTTACTAAG